AATAATAATTGGTTACAAACAATAACAACAAATAAATAAGAACTATTTGAATACATACATATTATTCTAATTGAGTTTAACAATATATGAGGTTTTTTTCTAAAGACTTTTTCAATAGTGCTATATCGCCACTTCTATATAAAACTAAACAAAATATTGATCTCAGTTATTTACTAAAGTGGGAATTCAACATGAATGCAAATTTACAATTGTGCCTGTCAAGGGTGTAGTAGGCAGCAACTGAACAGTCAGTTCTTGAATTTCATTTGTTGGAAAGAATTGGCAAGTGAAAAGATCAGAGTTACTTTTACAAGAACCAAATAGTGATGACTAGGTGACTGGGTCAGAGTATTTCTAAAACCACACGCCTTGTAAAGTGTTCTCTGTATGCAATGGCTAGTAGCTACCAAAAGTGGTGCAAGAATGGACAACTGGTGAACTGGCGTCAGGGTCTTAGGCACCCAAGGCTCATTGATGCATGTGAAAAGTGAAGGCAAGCTCGTCTGGTAAAATCACACAGAAGAGCTACTGTATCTCAGATTTCTGACAAACTTAATGCTGGCCATGATAGAAAGGTGTCAGAACACAAAGTGCATCACAGTTTGCTGTGTATTTGGCCGTAAAGCTGCAGACTAGTCAGAGTGTCCATAATGACCACTGTCCACCTCTGAAAGCACCTTCAATGTGGACATGAGTCATATCTGGACCACGCTACAATGAAAGAAGGTTGTCTGGTCTGATGAATCACATTTCCTTTTAGATCAGGTGGATGGCCGGGTGTGTGCATTTATCTGTCGAAGAGATGGCAGCAGGATGCACTGTGGGAAGAAGGCAGGCCAGTGTATGCAGTGTTATGCTCTGGTCAATGTTCTACTGGGAAACCTTGGGTCCTGGCATTAATGTGGATGATACTTTGACATTTATCTAGAGATTGTTGCAGACCACGTACACCCCTTAATTGCAATGGTGTTCCCTGATGACAGTGGCCTCTTTCAGCTGGATAATGCACCTTCCAACACTGCACAAAATGTTCAGGAATGGTTTGAGGAACATGACAAAGAGTTCAAGGTGTTGCCTTGGCCCGCAAATTCCCCAGATCTTAATACAATTGCACATCTGCAGGATATGCTGGAACAATAAATCCGATCTATGAAGGCACCACCTGGACTACTTGCAGGACTAAGAGGATCTGCTGCTAATGGCTTGGTGCCAGGTACCATATGAAACACATTCAGAGGTCTTGTGGAGTCCATGCTTTGATGCATCAGAGCTGTTTTGGCAGCACACGGGTGAATTACATGATATTAGACAGCTGGTGTTAATGTTGTGGCTGTATATATCTATATTTACAGTATATTTTCAATTTCTCTTGTAAAGGGCCCTACAGGCATTTGCTGTAAATCACAATTCTGTTGAAAAGTGTGTATCTTTTCATGTATGTGTGTTGTAGACTCTCTTTTGAAAATATTTAGACTCATAAGTGGGTTAATATATTTTCATTTAAGACATTAATAGTTAAGGAACAAGGAATATGCATTTCCTAATGCTCTTCATATGTAAATTTGTAAATTTCCCAGTAATGTTTATGTCCTCTGATGGAGAAGCATTAATTGGAAACTTGACACACACACACACACACACACACACATATATACACATAATGTTAAGTAATTTTGAATTTAATAAAGTGCTCGCTTTTGGTTATAAAAGATCAGCTAATTTTGCTTGCATTAGCTTAGAAATAATATTAGAAAGGCAATATTTTTCCACTGTAAAATTATGCAATCATTTTTTAATAATCCGCAAATGGATCACTAATTAATCCTGATATTTTCAACATTATTTCAACATGAGATAAAGCTTAATAAACCTATATATAACTTATCAGTATATCAGCCCACATTCAATAGATTTCATTCTATACGCTAACATTGCATTAATAATTTATGCAGAGGAGATGAATTTGCATGCAAATTGAATTCTGTTCCTTTTAATATATAGAAGATACATTCACTAAATCGTGAATATTCTATCTCCATCTCTCCACTCTCACCTCTTGCATTCTCGCCCCTCCAATTGTGATAGAATTTATCTTGATTCCAAGGCTCAAGCTTATAGGTGTCATATAATGATATCCTATATTAAAATTGGCTAACTTGGACTCAGGAAATGCTTGATGCTTAAACAGCACTTAAGACCATATATGTCTAAGTTCCGGGAGCAGAGAGCCCCCACCTAAGATGTCTCTGCTCTAATCATTTTGTTCTCTCTTACCTTGAAACTTATTTGTTATGTGTACATGACACTCATCCCTATGTCTTATCTGTACTCTCTTCCTATTACTTTTCTAAGAGTATTTGCACGTAAGCACTTACTTTTTAATGTATAAAACCCAGCTGATGAATAAAACGTCAGAGGCTTATTTTGAATACCAACAGGTGTCTGGTGTCTAATTCTCGCTTCTCCAAGTGCACTTGTAACAACAATTTGGACTTCCTCTGAATATAACAAAGATCAACATTTCTGATCCACAACACAATCCATCAGACACCCTCCCATCATTCCTCCCTCTCTCTACATATATATATATATATATACATACACATTGGTAAATTGGTGTGTAAATAAAGTGTGACTAAATGTAAACTTGTGTGAGTGACATTGTGCGTGTATGTTAGTAAGAGTGTGTGTGTTAGTGTGTAAATGATATTCTATCTCCATCTCTCCACCCTCACCTCTTGCATTCTCGCCCCTCCAATCCATCAGGCACTCTCCCACAATTCCTCCCTCCCTCTTTCCCTCTCTCCTTCCCTCTCTCTCTCTCTCCATTGGTAAATTGGTGTGTAAATAAAGTGTGACTAAATGTAAACTGGTGTGGGTGACATTGTGCGTGTATGTTAGTAAGAGCGTCTGTTTTCAGGGGCGGACTGAGAGCCTTTGGGGCCCCCGGGCAAAATTAGATCCCAGGCCCTTTGAAGGCCAAATATATGTGCATTTTAATAAATGTTAAATATAATTCATAATACGGCATTCCTTTGGATGTGTGTATTGTGAAGACCTGTGTATCAATGCATGTTTGTATTTGAGTCTGTGTGAATGCACTTGTGCATGTCTGGATGACTACATGTGCTTTTTTGTATATAGTGTCTGTGTGAATGCATATGTGACAGGTGACAGAGTGTGTGAGGGAGAAGGTGACAGGTGGAAGAGTGTGGGAGGTTGTGACAGGTGGCAGAGTGAGGGGGTACCTGGTGGCAGAGTGAGGGAGGGGTTGAGTGGTGGCAGAGTGAGGGGAGACACAGTGAGTGGGGGTGACTGGTGACAGAGTGAGGGAGTGGGTGACTAGTGACAGAGGGAAGGAGAGGGGGAGACTAGTGACAGAGGGAGGGAATGGGAGACTAGTGACAGAGTGAGGGAATGGGTGACTAGTGGCAGAGTGAGGGAGGGAAGGGGTGACTAGTGACAGAGTGAGGGGATGACTGGTGACAGAGTGAGGGGGGGGGGTGACTGTCACTAGTCACCCCATCCCTCTCTCTGTCACTAGTTACTCCCTCCCTAACTCTGTCACTGTGTCACCCGCTCCCTCACTCTGTCACTAGTCACCCCCTTACTCTGTCACTGTGTTACCCCTCCCTCTGTCACTAGTCACCCCCTCCCTCACTCTGTCACTAATCACCCCCTCTCTCCCTAGTCACCCCCTTCCTCACTCTGTCACTAGTCACCCCATCCCTCTCTCTGTCACTAGTCACTCCCTCACTCTGTCACTGTGTCACCCCGTCCCTCACTCTGTCACTAGTCACCACATCTCTCACTATGTCACTAGTCACCCTCTCCCTCACTATGTCACCTCCTTCCTCACTCTGTCACTAGTCACCCCCTCTCTCACTCTGTCACTAAGGACAGAGAGGGTGATTAGTGATAGAGTGAGGGAGGGGGTGACTAGTGACAGAGTGAGGGAGCAGGTGACACAGTGACAGAGTTAGGAGGGAGTGACTAGTGACAGAGGGATGGGGTGACTAGTGACAGTCACCCCTTCCCTCTCTCTGTCACTAGTCACCCCCTCTCTCACTCTGTCACTAAGGACAGAGAGGGTGATTAGTGACAGAGTGAGGGAGGGGGTGACTAGTGACAGAGTGAGGGAGCAGGTGACACAGTGACAGAGTTAGGAGGGAGTGACTAGTGACAGAGGGATGGGGTGACTAGTGGCAGTCACCCCTTCCCTCACTCTGTCACTAGTCACTCACTCTGTCACCTGTCACTCCCTCACTCTGTCACTAGAGTGAGGGGGTGACTAGTGACAGAGTGAGGGAAGGGGTGACTGGTGGCAGAGTGAGGGAAGGGGTGACTAGTGGCACAGTGAGGGAAGGAAGGGGTGACTAGTGACAGAGTGAGGGAGGTGGTGACTGTCACTAGTCACCACCTCCCTCACTGTCACTACTCCCTCCCTCCTTCTGTCACTAGTCACGCCCTCCCTCACTCTGTCACATGTCATCCCCTCCCTCACTCTGTCACCAGTCATCCCCTTCCCTCACTCTGTCACCCCCTCACTCTGTCACTAGTCACCCCCTCACTCTAGTGACAGAGTGAGGGAGGGGGTGACTAGTGACAGAGTGAAGGAGGTGGTGACTGTCACTAGTCACCCCCTCCTTCTCTCTGTCACTAGTCACCCCCTCCCTCTCTCTGTCACTAGTCCCCCCCTCCCTCACTCTGTCACTAGTCACCCCCTCTCTCTCTGTCACTAGTCACCCCCTCCCTCACTATGTCACTAGTCACCCCCTTCCTCACTCTGTCACTAGTCACCCCCTCTCTCACTCTGTCACTAAGGACAGAGGGGTGATTAGTGACAGAGTGAGGGAGGGGGTGACACAGTGACAGAGTTAGGAGGGAGTGATTAGTGACAGAGAGAGGGATGGGGTGACTAGTGACAGTCACCTCCTCCCTCACTCTGTCACTAGTCACCCCCTTCCCTCTCTCTGTCACTCCCTCACTCTGTCACTAGTGTGAGGGGGTTACTAGTGACAGAGTGAGGGAAGGGGTGACTAGTGGCAGAGTGAGGGAAGGAAGGGGTGACTAGTGACAGAGTGAGGGATGTGGTGACTGTTACTAGTCACCACCTCCCTCTGTCACTACTCCCTCCCTCCTCCTGTCACTACTCCCTCCCTTCTTCTGTCACTAGTCACCCCCTCCCTCACTCTGTCACCAGTCATCCCCTCCCTCACTGTGTCACCAGTCATCCCCTCCCTCACTCTGTCACCAGTCATCCCTTTCCCTCACTCTGTCACCCCCTCACTCTGTCACTAGTCACCCCCTCACTCTAGTGACAGAGTGAGGGAGGGGGTGACTAGTGACAGAGTGAGAGAGAGGGTGGCTAGTGACAGAGTGAGGAAGGGGGTGACACAGTGACAGAGTGAGGGAGGGGGTGACTAGTGACAGAGTGAAGGAGGTGGTGACTGTCACTAGTCACCCCCTCCCTCTCTCTGTCACTAGTGACACCCTCCCTCACTCTGTCACTAGTGACACCCTCCCTCACTCTGTCACTAGTGACACCCTCCCTCACTCTGTCACTAGTGACACCCTCCCTCACTCTGTCACTAGTGACACCCTCCCTCACTCTGTCACTAGTCACCCCCTCCCTCTCTCTGTCACTAGTCACACCCTCCCTCTCTCTGTCACTAGTCACCCCCTCCCTCACTCTTTCACTAGAGTGAGGGGGTGACTAGTGACAGAGTGAGGGGGGTGACTAGTGACAGAGTGAGGGGGTGACAGAGTGAGGGGGTGACAGGTGACAGAGTGAGGGAAGGGGTGACTAGTGACAGAGGGAAGGAAGGGGTGACTAGTGACAGAGTGAGGGAGGGAGTGGGTGACCAGTGACAGAGGGAGGGGGTGACACAGTGAGGTAGGTGGTGACTAGTGACAGAGTGAGGGAGGTGGTGACTGTCACTAGTCACTAGTCACCACCTCCCTCACTCTATCCCTAGTCACCCCTCCCTCTGTCACTAGTCACCCCCTTCCTCACTCTGTCACTAGTCACCCCTTCCCTCCCTAACTCTGTCAACTAGTCACCACTTCCCTCCCTCACTCTGTCACTAGTCACACCCTCCCTCACTGTCACTAGAGTGAGGGGGTGACTAGTGACAGAGTGAGGGAGGTGGTGACTGTCATTAGTCACCACCTCCCTCTGTCACTACTCCATCCCTCCTTCTGTCACTAGTCACCCCCTAACTCACTCTGTCACCAGTCAT